TTGCTTTTACTTTCAAGACCAGAGAGAACCAGGCACATACACAGAAGCCAGTTAACGTTATTATGATATGACAAAGAACTGAATCCGATGTTGAGGTTCCTTCAGAACAACTCATTTGTAGACCTTTTCATGGTTAAACAAGAAACTATTCACCGCAAAAAGATGTCTGGAGAGTAACGCAAAACAATCAGAAGATCGCACACTCCAAAACAACCGCGTTTTCTCTAAGAATCAGAATCTATTGAACTGACCGCAAATCAACGATATTTACCTGTCAGTCAAAGGCGTAATCACCAAACGAGGCGTGTTTCCAAGATACTCGTAGGAATACTTGAACTGAGCGTCACAGATGTTAGCAAAGCAGTGAGCTATGGAGTCATCCCAGCGATGTCTGAGCTGACTGAGCCATAGGAAAGCCAGTGCGTTCTCTACTTTCTGATGGATCAACTTGGCCACCACATCTCGAGCGTGCACATCGATTGTACAGATGGTCATGATCTTCTGGCGATCGCCTTTAGACAAGTCGCCGATTAACATGTTGATCAATGTTGTAAGCTGGGCAACCTGAGAAGAAAGGGATAAATCAGAGGTTAAACTCACCAGAATTACACAATATTTAATTCACTAAGATACTTGGACGACGAGGATTGGCAAGAAACTGTACTGTCTACTGATTCACGAGCGCTCCTCTCTCATTGAGAGAGAGAGGAACAGCGCGGGATGGCGTACATGGGATGAGGCCAGAGCTGCTGCAGCCAACAGAGAAAATTGGAGGCATTCTGTGGAGGCCTTATGTGCCACGAGGCACAAAGAAGCTAGGTAACAGGTAACAGGTACTGATTCACGAGCGCTCGCATTGCTAAGCTCGATTTCCGTCGCTCTCTTGATTCCGGTCTATGTTCCTCCCCGAGAAGGAGCCACGGGGGAGGAACGCGGGCTCTTTTTCCGAACAGCGGCCTGTAATCGAGCCTATCGCATTGTCTGATCCACAATGACTTCTAAATTCTTAGAGCGGGAAATGCCAACTAATTTTAAAACAGAAACATGCTCTGAATGGATTGCGTTTGTGTCTCATCCAAAGTAGTTTGCAAGCACTGAGTTTGTTGCACCACAAGGAAAGCAGCGAACCATCAGTCACGTTAACTCAAATATAATTTATACACCTTTCAACGGCTTACTAATGTTAACCGACGAAATTACGAGTCGTTATGCAATTTTTCTTATCTCTCTTTAAATTTTCGTTACTAACATATAACGGAGTGATCCAGTGTAACCTATTCCACTCTATATGACTTTTCATTTACAACGTTGTAAGACCGTGAAAAAAATTACTTCTTGTGATAAAGCCCGACGCTTGGATATTTTCTTTATACAATACACATGCCACGAAATCACCAAAACAGTATTTTTACGGAGCCTAGTACCTGTTTCTTGTAGTAGTCTTTCAGCGCATTCTCGTATCCCTCTTCCAGTCTTCCAAAAGCTAGCACGACTTCTGTGGTCCACCAGATTTGAGTTCCACACAGGGCGACCTGGGCCGGGTAGTCAAACAGCCACTGGTCACGTGGTTTCTCTTCATAAGATACAACAGCTTCTGAAAGCTCATGTTTGACTGTAGCGCGCATGGCATCCATTACACGGTTTAACCACACTTCAACCTGGAACAGAAGAAACATAAACAAATCAGTGCAATCACATTCTCTTGTTTAGACTGAAACATAATGAACATCTTAAGCCGCGTCCACACGACGCAGTAGAAATTTGAAAACGGCACTCTACTCTGACGAATCAAATGTTTTCCGTTCACCCTAAGGCGGAGAAATTTGGAAACGAAACAATCGCCGGTCCTTTTGGATTTGTCTGAGGAAACTCGGGTAGGGAAATCACATTATTATCGTAACGCCATCGTTTTAGAAAAGCTTCCTTTTCAAAATGTTTTCCGTCCACACGAAAACGCAAAGCCAGCATTTGGTTTCAAGAGCGTTTTCGAAAAGCTCCGTTTTCCTGACGGATTAGTGTGGACGGCAGGCCAAAAGCTGCGTGTTCAAATTTCTCCGGCGAAGCGTGGACGGAGTCTTAAAGAATCATTGTTGTGCGAACGCACGCAAATATAGCAATTTTCCATTGACTTTTGATTTTCTAGGCAAAACAGTTGTGCTCAAAACTCAAAACAATACGTGTACCAAGTTGTTTATTCAACCATTCTGAAGTGAAAACAGAATCTCAGACTCAAAACATCTAGAGAAATAAACCCAAATATTTTTTTTCACCTGTCCTGAACAGTCGCAAGGCTTGTTGAAGTCCACATATTCCCCTTCTTTACTGTACATCCCAACAGCTTCCTTAGTGGGGTTACCATCAGCATCATCTACAAACTTCAGTTTTGCCATGTTGTCAAACAACTTGGACAAGTGACGACTAACCTATGAAACACAACAACAAAATAAAAGTTAAAATTCTCCTAACTTAGTACTTTGCAATTGTATCAATGTAAATTGTAAGAATTTTGTCATACATTGTGACAATACTTAGTAGTCGATGATAGCTGCTTTCGTCTTCACTAATTTGCGTGACATGTCGAAATTTGGAACTGTAAAGGGTCCATCACTACAACTTTTTGGTTATCTCATTGGATGGTTTGCAGAACAAAGCACCCAAAAGAAAAGTTCATTCATGTTTGAACTTTTTTAGCCCTAACCTTTCGTTACGACTGCTGGTACGAGAGGGGAAAAAAAACTTTTAGGCTCTAAAAGTTTACCTCAATAGGCTGGTTGCCAAAGCACCCAAAAGAAAAGTTCATTCATGTTTGAACTTGTTTAGCCCTAACCGTTCGTTACGACTGCTGGTACGAGAGGGGAAAAAAACTTTTAGGCTCTAAAAGTTTACCTCAATAGGCTGGTTGCCTTTAGAGAGAATATCCAGCAAGTCTGCAGACGACACGAAATAAAAGCGCGGGAAAGCAAGACGTTTGGTTTCCAGATACTCGGCCAAGGCCTTCTCACAAAGTGACAACCTACAAGAAAAAACAATGTTATTACGTATTGCATTGCTTTTGCTGGGCGCTGAGATGGGAAAAGAAAATTTACACAGCGTTTTCTGGCGCGGCAAACAGAGCAATGATGCTTTATTTTTTGGGCTAAGCCGAATCAATCATGAATTCCCTCACTCGAGTTTCCCTGCTTTTTTCACAAGTTACTGATTTCTGCTTAGATTTTTGATTGGTACCTTACATTATTTTTCACCTTTGGGATCATTTGAGCGAAACAATCATCACGCACCTTTCTTGCAAGTTTTCCAGCTTCTCATACAGTCCTTCTCTGTTGCAGCAATTGACCACGTTCGGGATTTCCGCGGCCTCTTTCATCAGTTCCTATAAAAATAGTACGGGCGAATTGTAATTGTACGGCAGTCTTTATCCTGTTTAAAGAACACTAAATTTTGCACTTGAGTTTATAACTGCAATGGTAAACGGTTTCAGCCCATTGCAATTTTGCCAAAATCAATTTTACTTGACAAAAAAAGAAGCAGCACTTAAAATATCTCTTTTATTTATAATCAATAAACGGTTAAAATGTCACTCCTTTGCGCTCACCTTAAAGTCAACATCAATTCCGTCGAATCGCTTGGAGTCCTCAGGTAACTGGTTACGAATATCTTCAGAGCCAATGAAGATACTCTCCAAATGAGACCATGTTCTTTGCACCTCAAACCAAATGGAGATCACAGAGTCTGACACAGACAGCTTCTTCTGCCACAAAGAGACTTCTTCCAAGAAATGCCCGATGTACTTGGATGTGATTAGATTTTGAAGTTGCACCTAGGAAAAAAGAAATATTCATTCACTTAATTAATCCATCAAATACTCGAAACAGATGGAGAAAAGCAGACACTTTTCGTCATCTTTTTGCCGGTTTAGAAAACTTATCAGCCAATGAAAGGAGTTACCAGCGCACGTGTAACTTGTTGGCACGTGGTTGCTTTGAGGCAGTTTGAGCTTCAAATATCAATTAATTGGAAAACCAACAAAAGGGCGACCTGTTTGTCCAGAATCAAAGGAACGATGAATTTTTACTGCAGATGTTTAAAAGACAATCGGAAGTGACATACTAAACAGGAAAATTGTTATAGGCATTATGTTAAATGCTATAGACTGATAGCCGAAAGCTTATGTTTTAATCTTTTTAACCAGAGAACGTTTTTAAATACTTTTTAAAGGAAAAACGTTATTGCAAAAATCACTGTAGATTATTGTTACCTGGTTATCCTCAAGAGTTTCAATCAATTCCTCGCTTGATTTGAGTAATGGGATACCGGTTCTTAAGTGGCTTTCATATTCAAACTCCATCTGCGACCAAGTGACATCCAATTCCTTCAGCACTTTTTCCATTCCCAGTTCTTTTGTGGCCTTGTCCACGATTCCACGGACTTCGTCTTCAAAGTTGTGCAGGTTGAGGGCCAGCAGATCAGCTAAGTTTGTATCGTCATTCATCACAAATTTCACCTGAAAGGGAACAGCATAGTCAAGGGCTTTCAACTTTTGAGATGTTTTCTCGTGTTTTCCAAAACTATGTGTGACTAATAGATTTGATTTTGGTTTCACGTCCAAGAAAGTCACGCAACATAACGTGCAATTTACAAATAAGTCAAGTGTAATATCAACCTTTTAATTTTTGTCTAAGAGGGCACGGCAACGAATCCTACAATCTGATTGGTTCTTAGCGCAGTCCGGATTTTCCTATCGCTGACCACAGTCGACTGCGACCTCGGACTTTGAAAATTCTGCCTCAGGTCTGCGGCCTCGGGCAGCATTTTCAAGACCTCGGTCACAGTTTTTCACTATACCGGCCTAAATAACAAATAATCTGACCTGTCAAATGGTGGCAACGTTTGTGCACAAAACACTACCTCGGAATTGAAATGGAATTGAAACTGGAATGGAAATGCAACTCACTTTAGTGGCCTGCATAAGCTGTTGCCAATGGCGGTCCCTGATGGCCGGATTCTGCAACTCTCCCACAGCCCTTAATGACGTCACCATGTTCTTGACAGTAGAGTCCAGTCCAGTGAACGCGTCCCATGCACGCATCTCTTTGTCAAGTCCCCGGATCTCCTTCACAAACCTCTTACACTCCATTTCCATGTTCTCTACGTTGATGTCGGCCCACAGTGTGTACTTCCACTCGTCAATGCTGCTTAAAACAACTTCAATCATGTCCCAGAGCTGTTTGAGAAGGGACACTTCACGGCGGCATGCACGAAGCTGTTTGTAATCAGGGAAGTTCACCTCAAATAGGCCGGCGGACTCGGAAAGCGCGTTCATTTCTTCCTCCATGGCACAGATCTGGAAGTTGGCCTGTGAACACAAAAACAATATCTGGTAAATTGATGACCTGATCGCTCTATCAAGTGTATAAGGCGCTCCATAGTCTACTCTAAGGTCACAAATATTTACAAGGTATTTTCCCGCCTTGTAGGCTTAGAAATTCTTCGCACAAAGATTCACGACCTTTTGAAAAGGTACCAACCATTGCAAAGGCTAACGCAAAAAACAACGTGAGAAATATAGCACTGACCCTGTCTAAGCGATCGTAATAATTCGTGGAATCGAATTGGAATGGAGCTGTCTTGCGGAAGTCCTCTCTGAATTCGTGCTGTTTGATCTGTAAAAAACAAAATCAGAAAATAAAATAGATGAAAACAACTTCAAAAGCGTTACGTTCTGATACTAAGAGGTAGCAGACTTTCAAACTTACATCGAACTGTCCACATTTTCGTCTGATGATGGCGACTTCAGAGGCCTGGAGAGGAGCTACCTGTTGTTTCACTGTCACAGCAATCTTCTTGGTGTTGTTCCACTGTTCTGGAAGTTCCTGTGTATAAACAAGTTCACAGGGGAGTTCAGATTCGCTCGCTCATTTGCCCAGAAGTTTTTGCTCAATACTAGCTTTTTGTTTGAAAACTGCACTTTTACTGCCTTCAAATCGCCCTGAAAAGGACGCTGTTGTGAGCAGAAAAGTGTATCAAACACTCTTAACGCCCCGTCTACACTACGCCGGTGAAATTTAAAAACGCAACAATTACCAGTCATTTTGGATTTGTGTTTGAGGAAAACCCGGGCAGGGAAATTACAAGATTATCGTGACATCACAGTTTTCGAATATAGTAGCTCCGTTTTCAAAATGTTTTCCGTCCACATTAACACGTAAAGCCGGGGTTTCTCAAATTCCTCCGGTTTGAAGAGAGTTCTCGAAAAACTCCTTTTTCGTGCCGGATTAGTGTGGACGGTAGGCCTAACTGTAGAAATAAAGCTACGCTTTCAAATTTCTCCGGGCGTAGTGTGAACGGGGAGTTACAGAAAGCTCGACTTTTATCCGTTAGGTGCAACCCCTATAATGCCTTTCAGTGGCAAACGAAAATTTTACGCCTTTGGTCTATAGTTATAGAACGATTCATAAAAAATAACTCTCTTTGTAGCAGCAACAATTGACTTTACCTGAAGCTGTGTGTGTACTTCCTCTGGCATTTCTTGTCCGTATGTCTTGAGAAGTTCAATAGTCTGTTTAAGTGGCTCAAACATTTCATCAGTCACTGTCTGTCTGTCCTTGACAGCCATGAGGTGTCCCATGACAGCCACTAAGCCGTTGTAATCTCCTTCCTCTACAGGCTGTGTCAAACCAACATCTGCTACTTTAATGAATTCTGCCAAGTCGTTCAGGCTGAAGAAAAACAAACGTTATTGAGTTATAAGATTGTAATTTTAACTAGAAATGTATGGCGTTTCCAGTTCATTTTGTCACGTCAAGATGTAGTGGAATAACTCTCCAGATTCCATAGTTTCTTAAAACGAATTCACTAGCAGCAAACACGTCTCAATTCTGTTTTCTACAACTAAAGAGTTGTGGATTCCAACAGGGGATAGAACAGACTGACATGACCAGAAATGTATTCCTTGTTTTCTTTGCACTAACAACTTTTAATCAGAGTCAAAATGTCTAGTCGGCCATTATTCTAATTAATCAGAGACGGACAAAAGCGATACCTGTTTGTGACATGATCAATAAGATGTTGTTTGAACATATAGCTCCATCGTTTGATGATATTCAGTAACGCTTGTTTGAAGGGTCTGGCATCCACACGGAACCATGTATCAAAGATCTTTGTTCCCTCCACCTCATCCACTTCAGAATACAGCTTTTCATAGGTGTCGATCTAGGAAAAATAAAAAAATTCTTGTTTCAGTAAAACTTGAGTAAGGAAAGCCTGCGTGTTATTCAGTGAACTTTAATTTTAACACCATTCATTCGGGTATCTTAAAGAACTACAAGGGAAACTATGTGGAGATTAATTGACTGAATAAACGTCAGAAATCTTTGAATTTGTTTGGCTATATCATCGTTGTCAATTCGCTTGGTACACTGTACGCGCGCTTTACATTGTCAAATTCAAAGCACATTCAGAATTTAAAGCGAAAACCTTTTCACTTGTGATGAAAAAAAAATTGAACTGCGGTTGTAGATGAAAGTGAAGAATGATCATCGCAGTTAATTTTCCAGTTTAAGCAATTGGAAATTTCAGTGAATTGAATTCACTGCGATGATCATTCTTCACTTTCACAACTGTACTAAGTTGTTTATTCAACCATTCCGAAACGAAGACAGAATCTCAGACTCAAAAACAGGAGAACTCTAGAGAAATAAACCCAAATATTTTTTCACCTGTCCTGAACAGTCGCAAGGCTTGTTGAAGTCCACATATTCACCTTCTTTACTGTACATCCCAACAGCTTCCTTAGTGGGGTTACCATCAGCATCATCTACAAACTTCAGTTTCGCCATGTTGTCAAACAACTTGGACAAGTGACGACTAACCTATTAAACACAACAACGAAATAAAAGTTAAAATTCTCCTAACTTAGTACTTAAAAATTGTACTTAATGTAAATTGCAAAATTTAGTCATAAATTGTGACAATATTTCTTAGTCGATGATAGCTGTTTTCGTCTTCACTAATTTGCGTGACATGTCGAGATAAAATATGGATCATTTTTGGAACTTTGAAGTGTCAATGGCTACAGCTTTTTGGTTATCTCATTGGATGGTTTGCAGAACAAAGCACCCAAATGAAAAGTTCATCCATGTTTGAACTTTTTTAGCCGTAACCTTTCGTTAAGACTTCTGGCATAAGAGTGGAAGTAACTTTTAGGTTCTAAAAGCTTACCTCAATAGGCTGGTTGCCTTTAGAGAGAATATCCAGCAAGTCTGCAGACGACACGAAGTAGAAGCGCGGGAAAGCAAGACGTTTGGTCTCCAGATACTCGGCCAAGGCTTTCTCACAGAGCGACAATCTACAAGAAAAATCGACCACCTCAGAACGTTTTTAATCAATGCATTTACTGCGATTGGTTTACAAATTTACACGGTGTATTAATTCAACCAATCAGTTCAAAACGAAAATGTTAGTATAAGGCCAGTCAAGAGCAAAGTCGAATTGATAGCCTATCAATTCGACTTTGCTCTTGACTGAGCTTCTGAGAAGCTCAGGTGAATTTCCCCGGCCTTTCCAAGGGTCAGAAAGTATTTGCATCAACTTCTGTCTTGTGATTGGTTTAGTCAAGAGATTATCAAGGTACTTAACCTTGATAATCTTTTGGTTTACTACATTATTTGCCTGATTCGGCTTTCATTAGAAAAGTACTATAGTACTCCATGGACAAGCTACTGACACCTTGGTGAAAAACACAAAACGCACCTTTCTTGTAAGTTTTCCAGCTTCTCGTACAGTCCTTCTCTGTTGCAGCAATTGACCACGTTCGGGATTTCCGCGGCCTCTTTCATCAACTCCTATAAAAATAGTTGGGGTAAATTACAAATAAACCGAGTTCCTTATCTGGTTCATAGAACAACAAATTTACTACGGTAAACGGTTTCAGTCCATTGCAATTTTGTCAAAATCAGTTTTACTTGACGAGAAAGATGCAGTTATTTACTTATAATCAGTAAACTATCCTCGAGTCGTTCCTCTTCGCTCACCTTAAAGTCAACATCAATTCCGTCGAATCGCTTGGAGTCCTCAGGTAACTGGTTACGAATATCTTCAGAGCCAATGAAGATACTTTCCAAATGAGACCAAGTTCTTTGCACCTCAAACCAAATGGAGATTACAGAGTCTGACACAGACAACTTCTTCTGCCACAAAGAGACTTCTTCCAAGAAATGCCCAATGTACTTGGATGTGATTAGATTTTGAAGTTGCACCTGGGAAAAAAGAAATACTCATTCACTAAATAAATTCATCAAATACTCAAAACAGAGGGCGAAAAGCAGACACTTCTCGTCATCTTTTTGTCGCTTTACCAAACTTATCAGCCAATGAAAGGAGTCAACCTGCGCTCGTGTAACTTGTTGGCACGTGGTTGCTTTGAGGCAGTTTGGGCTTCAAAATGCGAATCAATGGGAAAACCAACAAAAGGACGACATGTTTTTCCAGAATTAAAGGAACGATTAATTTTTATCGCAGATGTTTAAAAGACAATCGGAAGTGACGTATTAAACAGGAAAAAGGTTATAGCAAAAGTCAGGGCTGCTTATTGTTACCTGGTTATCCTCAAGAGTTTCAATCAATTCCTCGCTTGACTTGAGCAATGGAATACCGGTTCTTAAGTGGCTTTCATATTCAAACTCCATTTGCGACCAAGTGACATCCAGTTCCTTCAGCACTTTCTCCATTCCCAGTTCTTTTGTGGCCTTGTCCACGATTCCACGCACTTCGTCTTCAAAGTTGTGCAGGTTGAGGGCCAGCAGATCAGCTAAGTTAGTATCGTCATTCATGACAAATTTCACCTGAAAGGAAATAGCATTTCATTTTAATCAAGGGCTTACAACGTTTGAGAAGTTTTCTTGTGTTTTTCAAAACTAATGTATGACTAATGGATTTGATTTTGGTTTCACGTCCAAGAAAGTCTCGCCACATAACTTTCAGGTTACAAGTAAGTGTAAAATCAACTCTTATCTGACCAGCCAAAAGGTGGTAACGTTTGTGCGCAAAACATTGCCTCGGAATAGAAACAGTAGTTAACCACGGCACTTAACACTATTCTATTTATTAAAATTCATGTATTTCCTTCCAAGAACGCAACTTTTCTTTTTCTTGTTTTTATCCGACACATAAGCTTGTTTGTTTGTTTGTTTGTTTGTTTTGGCAAGAACCAGACAATAAGCCCTCATGTGTTTATGACGACCAACTGGTGGGTGCAAGGTCTGTATGAAAGAGTACAATGTAGTTGTTTTAGTTGCACTTACTTTAGTGGCCTGCATAAGTTGTTGCCAATGGCGGTCCCTGATGGCCGGATTCTGCAACTCTCCCACAGCCCTTAATGACGTCACCATGTTCTTGACAGTAGAGTCCAGTCCAGTGAACGCGTCCCATGCACGCATCTCTTTGTCAAGTCCCCGGATCTCCTTCACAAACCTCTTACACTCCATTTCCATGTTCTCTACGTTGATGTCGGCCCACAGTGTGTACTTCCACTCGTCAATGCTGCTTAAAACAACTTCAATCATGTCCCAGAGCTGTTTGAGAAGGGACACTTCACGGCGGCATGCACGAAGCTGTTTGTAATCAGGGAAGTTCACCTCAAATAGGCCGGCGGACTCGGAAAGCGCGTTCATTTCTTCCTCCATGGCACAGATCTGGAAGTTGGCCTGTGAACACAAAAACAATATCTGGTAAATTGATGACCTGATCGCTCTATCAAGTGTATAAGGCGCTCCATAGTCTACTCTAAGGTCACAAATATTTACAAGGTATTTTCCCGCCTTGTAGGCTTAGAAATTCTTCGCACAAAGATTCACGACCTTTTGAAAAGGTACCAACCATTGCAAAGGCTAACGCAAAAAACAACGTGAGAAATATAGCACTGACCCTGTCTAAGCGATCGTAATAATTCGTGGAATCGAATTGGAATGGAGCTGTCTTGCGGAAGTCCTCTCTGAATTCGTGCTGTTTGATCTGTAAAAAACAAAATCAGAAAATAAAATAGATGAAAACAACTTCAAAAGCGTTACGTTCTGATACTAAGAGGTAGCAGACTTTCAAACTTACATCGAACTGTCCACATTTTCGTCTGATGATGGCGACTTCAGAGGCCTGGAGAGGAGCTACCTGTTGTTTCACTGTCACAGCAATCTTCTTGGTGTTGTTCCACTGTTCTGGAAGTTCCTGTGTATAAACAAGTTCACAGGGGAGTTCAGATTCGCTCGCTCATTTGCCCAGAAGTTTTTGCTCAATACTAGCTTTTTGTTTGAAAACTGCACTTTTACTGCCTTCAAATCGCCCTGAAAAGGACGCTGTTGTGAGCAGAAAAGTGTATCAAACACTCTTAACGCCCCGTCTACACTACGCCGGTGAAATTTAAAAACGCAACAATTACCAGTCATTTTGGATTTGTGTTTGAGGAAAACCCGGGCAGGGAAATTACAAGATTATCGTGACATCACAGTTTTCGAATATAGTAGCTCCGTTTTCAAAATGTTTTCCGTCCACATTAACACGTAAAGCCGGGGTTTCTCAAATTCCTCCGGTTTGAAGAGAGTTCTCGAAAAACTCCTTTTTCGTGCCGGATTAGTGTGGACGGTAGGCCTAACTGTAGAAATAAAGCTACGCTTTCAAATTTCTCCGGGCGTAGTGTGAACGGGGAGTTACAGAAAGCTCGACTTTTATCCGTTAGGTGCAACCCCTATAATGCCTTTCAGTGGCAAACGAAAATTTTACGCCTTTGGTCTATAGTTATAGAACGATTCATAAAAAATAACTCTCTTTGTAGCAGCAACAATTGACTTTACCTGAAGCTGTGTGTGTACTTCCTCTGGCATTTCTTGTCCGTATGTCTTGAGAAGTTCAATAGTCTGTTTAAGTGGCTCAAACATTTCATCAGTCACTGTCTGTCTGTCCTTGACAGCCATGAGGTGTCCCATGACAGCCACTAAGCCGTTGTAATCTCCTTCCTCTACAGGCTGTGTCAAACCAACATCTGCTACTTTAATGAATTCTGCCAAGTCGTTCAGGCTGAAGAAAAACAAACGTTATTGAGTTATAAGATTGTAATTTTAACTAGAAATGTATGGCGTTTCCAGTTCATTTTGTCACGTCAAGATGTAGTGGAATAACTCTCCAGATTCCATAGTTTCTTAAAACGAATTCACTAGCAGCAAACACGTCTCAATTCTGTTTTCTACAACTAAAGAGTTGTGGATTCCAACAGGGGATAGAACAGACTGACATGACCAGAAATGTATTCCTTGTTTTCTTTGCACTAACAACTTTTAATCAGAGTCAAAATGTCTAGTCGGCCATTATTCTAATTAATCAGAGACGGACAAAAGCGATACCTGTTTGTGACATGATCAATAAGATGTTGTTTGAACATATAGCTCCATCGTTTGATGATATTCAGTAACGCTTGTTTGAAGGGTCTGGCATCCACACGGAACCATGTATCAAAGATCTTTGTTCCCTCCACCTCATCCACTTCAGAATACAGCTTTTCATAGGTGTCGATCTAGGAAAAATAAAAAAATTCTTGTTTCAGTAAAACTTGAGTAAGGAAAGCCTGCGTGTTATTCAGTGAACTTTAATTTTAACACCATTCATTCGGGTATCTTAAAGAACTACAAGGGAAACTATGTGGAGATTAATTGACTGAATAAACGTCAGAAATCTTTGAATTTGTTTGGCTATATCATCGTTGTCAATTCGCTTGGTACACTGTACGCGCGCTTTACATTGTCAAATTCAAAGCACATTCAGAATTTAAAGCGAAAACCTTTTCACTTGTGATGAAAAAAAAA